GTCAATCTCCGTCGCATTTTTTGACTAACACGATTTGGCGTCATGGACCGACGTGGCTTATTAAAACGGAATCGAAGTAGCCACTTTCGCAATTCATGATCACGTCCGAAGTACCGGAATTGAGACCGCTCGCATGTTTCATGACTGCTGTAATTCGTTCAGAAGAAATTCTTCATCGATATTTGTCGATAAAACGGTTGCGAAGAATAGTCGCTTATTGTCTTCGCTTCAAGAAGAATAATAAATTTAAGGGCCAGTTAGCAATCAAGGAGTTGCGTCACGCGGACGAACGGATTACGCAACTTACGCAAGCATCAGTTTTCTCAAAAGAGATTAGTCAATTAAAGGCCGGTAAAGATTTACAATCCGGTAGTAAATTATTGTTGTTGCGACCTTTCTTAGACGATAAGGGAATATTACGAGTCGGAGGGCGCCTGCAGAATTCGAATCTGCCATACGAACAAAAACACCCAATTCTCTTACCAAAGAATAATCATATAACGGATTTAATTATTCGCAAGACTCATCACGAAAATCACCACGCCGGTATCAACGCTACACTGTGTATTGTCCGTCAACAGTATTGGCCGATCGACGGAAAAAACTCGGTGCGAAAGATCATGCGGCAATGCATTAGATGCTTCCGGGTTGATCCACCAATCGTAAGGTATACTATGGGTAATCTACCTGCTGCGCGTGTCTCCGAGAGTCGACCCTTTTACAATTCCGGCGTAGATTATTGCGGTCCATTCTACATAAAGGAAAGGAAATATCGGAATCGAACGCGACTAAAAATTTACGTAGCGGTATTCGTCTGCTTTGCAACGAAAGCTGTACACCTCGAAGTGGTGGGTGACATGACGACCGAAACATTCATTGCCGCCTTGAAACGATTCATCGCGAGAAGAGGAATATGTCGTAACATATATTCCGATAACGGAACGAACTTCGTTGGTGCGAACAACGAATTGATGCAGCTTCAACGAGAACTTCAAACGGACGAGAAGGTTCAACGATGGCTGGTTGATAAAGAAATTGAGTGGCATTTTATCCCAGCTCTTTCACCGAATTTCGCTGGGTTATGGGAAGCGGCGGTACGTTCGTTTAAACACCACATAAAACGAGTAGTGGGGGAAGAATTATTCACATTAGAAGAGTTCAATACCCTAGTTATCGAAATCGAGGCAATTCTTAATTCCCGTCCGCTAACTCCGCTTTCCTCAGACCCCAATGATCCTTCTGCATTGACTCCTGCTCATTTTTTAATCGGCAATTCTTTAACGAGTCTACCCGAGACCGATTTCAGCGTCATACCTGCCAACCGTTTATCGAAATGGCAGCACATCCAAAAGGTTAAGCAGGATTTCTGGACCAGATGGTACAAGGAGTACCTGAACGAACTCAACGTGCGACAAAAATGGTCCAGCGGCTCGCACGAGATCAAGGAGGGATCTTTAGTGGTCTTAAAAGATGACCATCTTCCACCACTTCAATGGCACCTCGGTCGAATCGAGACGGTGCATCCCGGACAAGATGGTATCATCAGGGCGGTCACCGTTCGGACTATCCACGGCAGCTATAAGCGGAACGTGAAGCAATTAGCCCACCTTTCAACATCTAATTAATTAGTCTGCGCGATATGTATAATTTTTATTTTTCTTTTCTTCTCATATTGTTTTGTGTAATATCTTATAACATTAGGTGTATTCGTTCGATAGTAGTACGTTTCGTGTTACTATTATATGTTATTGATCAACTGCGTCTCTCAACGGGGGGAGCATGTTCCGTCGAGGAACAAGAAGGACAACCGACACGGTCCTTCGACCGCTCGACGAAGCAATTTGTTTTACTGTTGCCAGATGTGCGAGTCAGAGTTAACATTCTCATTCATCGACGTTTAAGGATTCCACATCTGGCATCCCAAGTAATAAAATACTTTCGTGCTTTCGTCGAGCGGCGACTTAAGCCTTAACATACGAGGGCCGTATTGCCCGGCAGTCGGTACCGTTACGCCAGGTCATCCTCCGTTCGGGCTTACGGAGGGTTGACGCCGACTCGCGGGACCGGCGCGCTATTCCGGGGTTCGTTCCTCTTCCCCAATTTCGCGGACTTCGACCTGAGGGAGAGGTTTCCTCCACCACCGTCGCAGGATGACCGGGGGCTTGCCACCACCACCAACGAAGTGACCAGGGCGGTGTCGTTCCACCCCTATAGGAGTGGCTGGAGATCCTCCTTCCTCAGGTCGATACAAATCGATATCGATATTCTGTCAACGCCCAATAAAAGGCGTTGACACCCCCGAAGGCGCGACTCGGGGGAAGCCGGAACCGAGGAGGAAGCGAACCCCGGGACTCCAGGACAGATTTAATCGAGTCGTCGAACGAACAGAATCAACCGAGTCAACGAACGGACTCCTTCAGAGAATCAATAGAGTCAGCGAACGGACTCCTTTAGCTGAACTACGAGAGTCATCGAACGGACTCCTTCAGCAACCAGAATTCGAAACAGTTACTTAAAATTAAATTGGCGAGTAACGCAGCGAAGTCGCGAATACGGCTTACAACCGTAAGATCGATAACGAAACAATTCGCGACGCGACA